CTGCTGCTGCTGCTGCTGCTGCTGCTGCTACCACATCATCACCTGTAGAACCCGTGCCTGCCTCAACGCCCCGCGGCGCAGGGCGAGCCGCAGCCCCACCCCGCAGCAGCAGCAGCAGCAGCAGCAGCAGCGTGTGTTGCGCGCAGTGCACTTCTCCGGAAGAGGGTTTGCCTGCTGCTGCTCCGCGGTACCTGATGGGCGTGGGGCAGCCGCTGGATCTTGTTGCTGCTGCTGCTGTGGGGTGTGACTTATTTGACTGTGTCTTCCCGAGCCGCACGGGGCGTTTTGGTGCTGCACTGGTCAGCAGCGGGCTGCTGCGGCTGCAGCAGCAGCAGTTTGCTGCTGACCCCCGGCCCCTCGACCCCTGCTGCTGCTGCTACGTCTGCTCCAGATATTCCAGGGCCTTCATCCACTTCGCCTTCAACAAGGAAAGCAACCAGCTGCCGCTGCTGCGCTGCTGCTGCTGCTGCTGCATTACTGCTGCTGCTACAGTGCTGCTGCTGTGTTGCTGCTGCTGCTCCATTGCTGCTGCCGCTGCTGCTGCTGCATTGCTTCTGCTGCTGCATTACTGCTGCTGCTGCTGCTGCATTGCTCTTGCTGCTGCTGCATTGCTGCTGCTGCTGCTACATTGCTGCTGCTGCTGCTGCCGGTGTGTGGGGTGGGACGGTGGTGTGGGGTGCTGCGGTGTCTGTACACTCAGGGCCCCACAGCGGGTCAGCTGCTGACGCTGCACAACTTGTATTATCTTCATGACCTCTGCAGCAAAATGCGAAGCAGCATCAAAAAGAAAAGTTTCAAAAAGTTTGTTGAAGAGTTTTTGCTGCTGCGGTACCCCAGGCAAACGCCCCCAGACACCCCGCCAGCTGCTGCAGCAGAAGCAGCAGAAACAGCGGAACCGCCCGCAGCAGCAGCAGCAGCAGAACAAACAGCAGCAGCAGCAGCAGCAGCAGCAGCAGCAGCACAGCAAGAGTTGGAGAATGCTCGCAGCAGCCCCCGCTCCCCCAAGCGCCGCAAAGTGACCCTCCCTTGTACCCCTGTGGGGTGTACAGACACCCCGGGGGGGTCCCCCGGGGGGCCCCCGGGGGGCCCCCCTGGGGTGTCTGTACACCCGAAGCCGCCGCGGTGGTTCCGCGACGCTTTGCTGCTGGCGGGAATAGACATTAGTCATTTATATTTGGAGTTTGGAGATGATGAAAGGGCAGTTTGAAGAGTTTTTATTTGTTTGTTTGCTTCTCGTTTGGTCTCTTGTTTGCTTCTCATTTGCTTCTCATTTGCTTCTCTTTTGCTTCTCTTTTGCCTTTCTTTTGTTTCTTTTGGATTCTTTTTTAATTCTTTTTTGTCTTCTTTTTGCTTCTTTTTGGCCCACTTTTGGAGCCTTTTGTGTCTCTACTTGCTGCCCGAGACAATTCTGTCTTTTTCTCTCCTTCGAGCAGCAGCAGCAGCAGCTGCTGCTGCTGCGTTAGCGGCAGCGGCAGCGGTAGGCGCACTGGAGCAGCAGCTGCAGAGCAGCAGCAGCAGCAACAGCCAGTGCGGAAGCCGCACGGTGGTTGCTGCTGCCGCTGCTCCTTGTGCTGCTGCTGCTGCTGCTGCTGCTGCTCCGGTGCGGCTGCTGCTGCCGCTGCGGCGGAGGCGGCAGCAGCAGCGGCGGCGGCGGCGGCGCTGCGGCTAGAAGAAGACAGAA